GTTCAGCCACAGCCCATTTTGTGGGGAGTGGGGAGGCACCTCTTTTAGTTTCCTGTTCTTTGGACTATAAAAAGAGCTGCCACAAATATTTTTGTATATGTGGGTCCTTTTCCTCTTTTTTTTAATGCCTTTGAGGTATAAGCCTGGTAGTGGTATCACTGGATCAAAGAGAACACAGAGTTCAGTAACTTTTGGGGCACAATTCCAAATTGCTTTCCAGAATGGTTGGACAGATTCATAGCTTTATCAATGACACAGCAATGGACAAGCAACAGGTTATTTTAGTCAAACCAATTAGTTAACCTATTTAACCAGAAGTGTCAAACTCAAAGCCCAGGCAGCAAGCACTGGTAAAACTCCCAGAACCAGATTTAAATGTAATTGGAAAATGTTGAACAAAATAAAAATACAATACAACACAGATAATGTTAATTAGTGGTTTTCTAAATCAATAGGCAGCTAGCAGGGATCTATTTCTATTTGAGTTTAATAACACTGGTTTAGACAGACTCAACAGTTTTTTTTTCTTTTTAACTTTTAAACGTATTTTTAGCATCATTTACAAATAGCCCAAGTATGTGTCACCTGTAAAAATGGGACCCATCCTAAGTACAGACACCCTTTGTAATATTAAACTCTAAAATAGTAATGACTGGAAGCTGGAGCTTAAAAATGAAATGGAAATACTTAAACTGAAGGTTAAATACTTTGGTCACATAATGAGAAGACAGGACTCTTTGGACAAGAGCCTGGTTTGGGAAAGATTGAAGGCAAAAGGAAAAGGGGAAGACAGAGGATGAGATGGATAGATAGTGCCATGGAAACAATGAACAAGAACTTGGACAGATTTGGGAGATGATGGAGGATAGAAAGGCCTGGCATCCATGGGGTCACAAAGAGTCTGACACAGCTGAATGACCGGACAATAAGAACAATATAGTGGTAATTTAGGAACAAAATTGGTAGAACTTCCTCAAATTCTATCAATGGGAGCTTATTACCACAAATCATTATTGCAAGTGGAGACAAGATAGATTTCCATTTTTCCTGGAATTTGTCTATATATGTCACTATAGATTCTCATTACCATGTGTAGATGAAGTGTGCTGAGTCAGAAATATGGGTCTTCAAATCTTGCCTCTGTCACATACTTGGTTGTTTGACAATGAGCAAGACATTTGACTTTCAATGCTCTGGGCAACTTTCTAGAATCTCAGATTTTAAGTAACAGCTAAGGTACTGACTTGCATTGGAAGGGGGAATTTCCTATAGTAATGCAATCTAAGATGAAGTCTCTATCCTTATTCCTACTATGTCTAATAATGTGGCATATCTAGTTTCTACAACATAAAGTTAATAGCATTTTGTTTATATGTTTGAATTCAAGAACCCTTAAGATAAATTCACCTCAGCTTATTGATTCACCCTCATAAAACACTATCACATTCATAACATGTATGACCCTACAGTTTGGAACCTTAGGAAAGTATCCTGAGGCTGCAATGCACAAGCTTGGCATTAAGAGACTGAAAAAGAATAATTAGGTATGGGATCCAGTGAAATTATAGATCTAATACAAATTACCGACTTTGCAGGTATATCTGTTTGGATTAAGATAATGTATAAAGCAATGCACATGAAGTTCTTTGTAAAGAATAAAATGGTGTCAATTTAAAGCAGTATCACTAGGATCACAGATCAAGAGTTAGAAGAAAGGAAAGAGTTTATCTTGTCTAAACCCCTCTTTTTACAGGGAAAGGAAATGAGACCCACAGAGGTGATATGAATTCCCCTAAATCATGAAAGTGGTAAATAGCAGAGTGAGGATTTGAATTCAAGTCCTAAGACTCCAAGTTCAGCCCTCTGTCCACGGCACCACACTGTCTGACTATTATCAAGTGAGTCTGTTTAAGTTTCATCCTACACTTCCAAAGTTGTATCATTCTATGATTGCTCTACATAACTGCAGCAAATTGGGAGAAAATTTCTCTTAGCCTTTGTTGCTGTCATATGTCCACATACCTTTGTGGGTGACAGAAAACCCCTAAAACCCCAGTGCTCAAGAGCTCAATAACTCAACCAGAAAAAATATTTAAAAGCAAGTACCACCTTCTCTAGAATGCCTTCCCTGTCCCTCCCACAGATGTCAATGCTTTCTCCTTCCTCAAACTTCCCTTTATTTATTTTTCTTTGAACCTGTAGTATAATCCCAGGAGAGTTGTCAAATTATATCACGTATGCAGAGCACTTTGAAAACATTAAAACACTATGATTATTGATGAGTGTGCTATTATTATAAGTAATAATAACAAAACAGGGTAACACAATTTTAAAATCCATACATGTATATATGATCAATGTCTGTTTCAAGTATAAATAAAAAACAAGATAATATATAAAACCTTATATTTATATTATTACTATTATTGTTAGACAGAAGTTATACATTGGATTAGGAGAAAGCCATAGGTAATAAAATAATAAAAATAGGAGGAGAAGGAGGAGGAAAAAGAAGAAAAGGAGAAGGAAGAAAAGAAGAAGTTGTTTGAAGGAGAACAGTGTTTGACCTTTGGAATTTCAAAGGAGGGCAGTATGAGCCACAGGAATCTGAGAATCCAGGATTCCAAGCTGGGTGTTGCATCCAGCCCAGCATGGAGCAATCATATGAAATGTCCTTCAGTACTACAGCCCAGCAGAAGCCAATGTCACCTTTGTATGAGAACTTGGTTGAATCAATGCTATGAATAATCCTCAGCTTTATGGTAGCCCTGGACCTTGATAAAACATTATTTATTTTCAGACTGTCCAAGAACTAAATTTTGAACCTAATCTCTGCCTTTCCCCACTCAAGATCAAATTGGTATAGGGGAAATTATGCCCATGAAGTGTTGGGGGAAGTGTTAGTAATTTTGTTCTTGCTATATATTTAAGTAAATGTTCCTTTATAAAAAACAACAAATATTGACGGGTCGAATAAAAGTTTTGCTATTCCTTACACATGACCCTCCTTCTCCTATCTCCATGCTTTCCAATATCTCCCACACGTGGAATGTACTACCACTGTACTTTCATCTCTTAGAATTCCTTGTTTCTTTAAAACTGTGACTAAAGCCTTTTTTTTAGTAAACCTTTCCCAATTCTCACCTCCCCACCTTCCCCCTACCCAGAAGCTAGGGCTTTCTCCTACAAAAATTTAGCTTGCATTTATTTTGTCTATATTTTCTTTATACTTATTTTTTATACACATGATATCCCCTAGTAGAATGTAAGCTCCATGAAGTCTGTTCATTTTTGTTTTCATATCCTTAGTGCCAGGAAACAGTACCTGGCACATAGTAGGAGCTTAAAAATGCTTGTTGACTGATTGATTGAAATGTTTTTTCCCTGTCACCTTTTGGTAATGAACTGACACTGTCTTTAATTCAAAATAATGCTCAAGTACATTCTAGGCAATACTAAATAAATCTTACTATAAAGTCTTTCCTAAATGGCTGGACACTGAGGAAAGAATGGACTGACTCAGTAGGAGTTATATTATAGTTGTTGTTATCATTACTAACAATAATTATAAAAATAACAATTACAATAGAATGAATGGCACTGGGATGAAATCAGCTCAGCTTGAAGAGTGCCGAGTCTTGTCATTAACTTATGATTGTGAATTCAATAGGAAGGAAAAGTGTCTAATTTCATGTTCTGTGCAATAACTTGAGCATTACTAGTACCCAATAAATTATAATCAGAAAATGTTTTCAACACTCAATAATTGTTACATGGTATTAATTACATCCAATTATTTTTCTAAGTATTGAATTTCTGAGGAATTTCATGTTTGGGGGAAATGTCTTAGTTATAAAAAAAATACTTAATTTCAGTAAGCTTTCTATTTTTTTTTAATTCAACACACATTTACTGAGAGCCACTACATGCAGATCATTGTATTGGGTATTACAAATAGATACAAAGAAAAAGATGAAGCAATCCTTTCCCTCAAGGAGCTTATATTCTACAACTTATATTCTTGAAAAATATTTTTATGATTTCTTCTGGTTTTCCATCTTTTCAGTTTCTCAGTTTATTGCTCCCCTCTTTCCCACTCAAACCAACCAATCAATAAACATTTATTAAGTGTCTACTATGTGTCAGGCACTATACTAAGCACTGGGTATACAAAAACAGGCAAAAAAAAACCCAAAAAATCAGTCCTTGTTCACATTCTGATAGAAGAACCATCAAGCAAACAAATATGTACAACCACATCAAGAAAACTAAGAAATAATTAAAAGAGAGAAGGCACTAAATAAAGAAGGGGTGGGAAAGGCTTCCTGTAGAATATGGAATTTAATTGGGGGCCTGAAGAAAGCCAGAGAAGCCAGAAGGCTGAGATGAAGAGGGACAGCATTCCAGGCATGGTGGACAGCCAGAGAAAATGCTCGGAGCCAAGAGATGTAGTATTTTATCCAAGCATACAAGGCCTGGAGTAAGAGGTAAAAAGACTGGAATGGTAGATGCTGCTGGGTCAGGAAAGGATTTGAACTCTAAATAGAGAATTTTATACTTAATCCTGGAGGCAAGAGTGAGCCACTGGAGATAATTGAGTAGTTGAGTAAAACATGGTTGGATTTGTACTTTTAGGAAAATCACTTTTACGGCTTTTTGGAGAATGGATTGGAGTGAGGGGAGACTTGAGGCTAGCAGATTCACTAGCAGGCCATTGCAATAACACAGCTGGAGGTGAAGAGGGCCCGTACCAAGGTGATGGCAGTGTCAGAGCAGAGAAGGTAGCATGTTTGAGAGATGTTGCCAAGGTAAAATCAATAGGCCTCGACAGCAGATTCAACATGGGGGGCTGAGGATGACACTTGGGTTGTAAGCCTAAGGAACTGGGAGGATGGTGCTGCCTTCCACAGTAAAAGAGAAGAGGGAGTGGGGAGGGATTTAGTGGGAAAGATAATGAGAGAATAATCCCTTATTACAGAGAATAAAAAAGAGAGGAAAAAGCACTTTAGTGACCAATTTATTCACCAAGTCTGACAGTATTATCAATATTTAAACTGACCAGAGTTTAATCCTTTGCCTGTCCATAGTACCCTTTATTTCACTTTGAAAAAGCCTTGTAGCTCTGGCCAGATGTCAAAGCCTATAAACTGAAGCCTCTGAAGTTTGATAAACTGCCACATTCACAGAGCTGGTCACTGGCAGTCGTCAGGTTTAAGTTTAGAATGTCAAAGCACAGCGCCATCTTCATTACCCATAAACCTCCACCTGACTCCCCCAGTGACTCTGTTCCTTTATTCCTTTGTTGAAATCCTTCCTTCTGCCCTTAACAAATTATTTCCCTTTTTGGCCTTGATATTTTTCACTTTTGGAAAGTATGTACAGGAGGAAAATAGGTTTGGAAATTGTTTCGCCAGGTCTGTTTGCTCCTGTAATTTCTGATTATCCAGCTGTGAATCAATAGGTGAACCTGAAAACAGATGTATAAAGAAATGATATTCAGTTCAAACACTACCACATTATTCTTCCCAAAATGAAGGATTTTCAGTTATCATTTTAAAACAATTTATAATTTGTTTAGTAATAAATGTCTTCAATTGGTAAATATTTATGTTTTATTTTAAAACTTTATTTTCAATCTCTTTTTTTTTCTGTTTTCTTGATCATAATCACCTGAAACTAGTGCCAAACTCTATCTGGCTTTTAAAAAAAAGATTTTTTATATAATTTTAAAATATACTCACTAGGGGAAGGCTCATAAAATTCAGCTTCAGCCACAATCTGGACTCCAGTCTGCCAAGCTCTACATAAATAAATCATCAAGTCATTTTGGCATCCTATGGGCCAGAAGGAATATCTTCCACAGTAGATTTAAAGAGACATAGCTCTGTAAGATACCAAGGAACAGAACTCACATGAGTAATTAAATATGTACTTTTTAATCTTCTAGAGATGAGACAGGTCCTTTGGAAAAAATATGATTGTTAACTTCCCAAACTGTAGTTCTTTTCTTTTTCATTTAGATACATTAGGACAGTCCCATGCTCACTTAACCGATGTGGATATAAAATGAGGGAGAAAGCTGGAGCAAGGGGGAATGAGGTGGCATGAATAGCATGTGACCAGATACATACAAAAATACCCCTGTTGAGGCAAATGAGTAAGGTTCAAATATTGAGGATTAGAAAGAAGCAAGTGCAATAAATATTGTAGAGGAAGAGAGGTATAATCAACACTGTAGCCTAGTCTAGGTGTATCTTGGTACTAGATTCAAAATTAGGTGCCCAGGTTTGGGGCCAAACTGCTCTCAAGAGCACAGACTAGTACATAAAGATGCTTCATTCTTTATGGTAATATCTTGTGACTTCGTTGGTCTTCTACGATTACGGGGTTATAAAAGATGGGGTTTGGGCTACTCACCATCAACCTATCTGAGTAGAGGAGAGAACTATATTAAAAAGGATATGGGATCCATATTCCCCAAACACAAAGATCAGATCTGTCATCTAAAACTTCCTTTTGGCATACTCAAGAGAGAAAAGGTGTGTGTGTGTTTGTGTATGTGTGTAAACAGTTTTCAGGTTTGCAGCAAGCTATTTTTTCAGTACAGTATCTCACGGACAAAAGGCTGTATCTCAGGAAATCATACCGAGTTGGGGCAAAACTTGCTCTGTGTCATTTCGAGCACTTGAATACAATATGGCCCTGCAAATAGAAACATACTCTGTTTAAATGAGACTTTGAACATTGACATGATCTTTAAGGTATCTTCATGTTCAACAATCTATGATTCTAAGATACATTTGTGAATGCTCATGTAGATAGAAGCATGTGTGTACATGCAAATGTACGCACGCATGCACACACAGACACTTAAAGGTATTTTGGCTTCTGAGCAAATGTGATCAAAGTAAAAATAATGCTGTTGATGTTTGTTTGTTTTGCCTTTGTCTTTATTGAAACTCAGGTCTGTTGGGTCATTGCACATGAAAAGAAATTTCTTGTCTAAATCTGCTTGAAAATGTGTGAGTCAGGTGCAGAGTGACCCTTCATGGGTTATTAACCAGTTAGTTTCTCCAAGAAAAGCAGACATTAGCTGTGAACATTACTCAGCCATGTCAGGAGATGTAGGTATCAGATAGTCCCATTCTGCTTTATCTCTAATTTAATCTCCAGATTTTTCAGCCAGGGCTGTTGGCTTGCACTTAATAACCTATTTTTATCCAGGGCTGCTTTTTAAAACAAGATGCCATAATCAATGTAATGATGACAGAGCTGACAGACAAATTCAGCAGTAATGCCTTTCCGTCCCTGGCTCCATGTTTCAAAGCTGCCAAAGGGCTAGGAATTGTGAAATACATTCCAGGCAGTTACCGGTTAAGGATCATTTGCATAAATTAGCAAGTTTTGCAAATGAATTCATCTAGTGAAAAGTAAGATACGGGACACTGCATTTTAATAATTGACATTCCACATGAAATGCAATGTTCTTGAGGAGGAAATTGAGCTCCAGGTTGCTATTAGAACCAGCGGAGCAGCAAGAGCTGGAAAAGAAATGCCATCTCCCATTATGTGAAGGACTGCTCCTGCATAACAACTATCTTCCATTCTGATGGACTTCTTTTAATAAAACTATGAGGGGGCTTTTGCACATAGAGGGAGCATCGGGAGGAATCCAGTCATCAACAATATTGAACAGGAAATGAGAATGAAGGAGGTCTTTATGATGTGGTCTTAACATTCAACTAGTAATTCATTACATGCAGTTTCTAAAGTCATCTTTCATTTTTCCTTTTATTTGGCAGCCATTCCCTCCCCTTTCAAGCATTCTGCCCTTCTACCCTCCACACCCCTCACCAGTGCGTTTACTTTTCAGTTTTATGAAATACTTAGAAGATGGCTTAAAAATATGAAATACTTATAAGATGGCTTAAAAAAAAAAAAGGTGGATGGAAACATTTTGAAACCATCTCATATGGGGATGGGCTTTCCCAGTGTAAGTGAAATTACAAATAAAGATGATTAGTTCATTCAGCTGCCTTCTCCTGTCCTAATGAGTTTAAGAACACCCTACATTGCAAACATGGGCATAGTTTCCCATTTAATGACTTATATGAGGTGCTCTTCAGCCAAAGTCACCAAGCTAACGGGTGTCAAAGGGACAGATTGCACACATGTGTAATATCCACATTGGAAGCAAGTTCATCCTTACTAATGTTGCCTGGCATAATTTATAATTAGCATAAAGTGAATTAAATCACTCACTTGATATACTTTTTTCCAAGTTCATGTAGAGTAAGTGTACCATATCAATTAATTCTCAATGAACTGCAGCAGCCAATAAAATTTCCTCCAGTCACTAGTAATATTCAGAAATATTAATGGGAGAGCAATCATCATTAATCTGAAGATAAACTGCAAATCACACATGGGGAGCTTACTGAGAAAGTTCCTCTATTTGGGGAGAAAAAGTAATTATCATTAGTTGCTTTGTGTTGCCCATTTTAGCCATCCCAACTTGTGATTTAGTGGACGCAGCAACCCTGGGTTTGAATATTGGTTTTGTGACATAATAGCTATGTGACTTTGGGCAAGTCACTTAACCTCTCCAGGCATCAGTTTCTTTATCTATAAAATGAAAGAGTTGACAATCAGCTCAAAATGAAAGCCTGGAATGAAATTCGGGCAGCTAGGTGGTACAGGGGATAGAGTACTGGGCCTGGAGTCAGGAAAACCTGAGTTAAAATCCAGCCTCAGACACTTACTAGCTGTGCGACCCTGTGCAACTCTTAACCCTGTTTGTCTCAGTTCTTCATCTGTCCAATGAACTGGAGAAGGAAATGGCAAACCACTCCAGTACATTTGCCAAGAAAACCCCAAATGGGGTCACAAAGAGTTGGACACAACTGAAAGGACTCAACAAGAACAAATTAATATTAAACATCATATTATAAAAATGAGAAGTCAACTAGATTAGTCACCTTTCATAGCTATGACTAGAGGAATAGTTTTAAACCAAAGTACAGAAACAATCCTAAAAAAGATAAACATAGATACTTTCAACTACACAATAATGGAAAGCTTTTGCACAAACGAAATCAATGCAGATAAAACAAAAAAAGAAGGGACTATTGCCTGGGAAGCTCTCTCATGCCTGGAATGCACTGCCTTCTTCCATGAGCCTCTTAAAATTTCTAGTTTCTTTCAAGATTCAGCTTTTGCCACCTTCTACATGAGTCTTCTGCTGATTCCCCCTAGCTCATATTGCCTTTCCTCCAGAAAAAAATACCCTTGAATTTATTTTTGGATATGCTGATATACATATCTTGTCTTCCCCTATAGAATATAAACTTCTTGATGGTTTTGTCTTTGCATTTCTAATGCCTAGCACTATGCTTGGATCAAGGTAGATGTTTAATAGGTGATTATTCATTAGTTCAGGGAAAATAATTTTTGCATCACATATATGGTTCTGATATCCAAAACATATAGGAAATGAACACAAATATATAAGACTAAGAGCTATTTTCCAAAGTACAACTGCTTAAAAGATATGAATAAACCCTTCTGAAAAGAACAATTGGAAACTATTTATAACCATATGAAAGATTGTTCTACATGACCAATAAGAAGAATGTAAATTTAAAAAAAAAATTAAGGTTCTACCTCATGGCCAACAAAAAAGATGACAAAATATGCAACTAGTTAAGTTGGAGGGGCTTTAGAAAAACAGGCATGATAAATGATCATTGATACAACTGTGAATTGATCCAACCATTCTGTTAAAGAGTTTGGAATTGTGCTAAAAACAAAAAAAAAAGTGATTAAAATGTCTATACCCTTTGACCTAGAGATTCCACTGATAGGCAAGGAGATCAGACACAAACAGAAAGATCTCATCTGAACCAGCATCAGTTTTTATGATATCAAAGAACTAAAAACAAAATATTTGCCCACTAATTGGAGAATGGCTAAACAATTTGGAAAATGTGAAATGGAACATTATTGAACCATATGAAAGAACAAATGTGTAGAATTCAGGGAAGCATGAGAAGACCTATAAACTGATATAAAGAATAGGAGGCAGGGCCAGGAAACCAAGCACAATAACCACAGTGACATAAATGGAAAGAATGACAACATGAAACGGAATGCTGTTTGATTACAATCACCAAACTTGGCCCTAGAAAAGAGACGTGAAAATGCATCTTCTCAACTTTGCAGATGTGGGGAATCATGGATGTGGAATGCTGCATATAAAACTTGATTCATGTCTTGTCTAGTCTTGCTAGACTGCTTTTTTCTTCTTTTTATTTTGCTACAAGAGATAGCTACCTGAGTAGGGGTGGGGAAAGGGATATATTCAGAAATGAGGGTGATATAAAACCAAATGATATTTAATAAAATACAATGAAAGAGATGCCTCTAAACTCCTTGCAGCTTTAAACCTATAACTATGCTTAACATTGAGAATCTTTTATTTGGTCCGTAAAATGAATCTTCTGTTACAACTGCTTCCTTTTCTCAATCTGAAAAAAGTAGTAGAGAAACCATTTAAAAATAAAATGAAATATAATATAGACAGAAAAAAAAAGAGAGTATCTTGCTTGTTTTATTATCCTTTTCAATGACTTTTCTTCATGCTGACACAACCCACTATGACTAGTTTCTACGTAGAACATCAGAATATCGGCAAAAAACAAACAAGGACCTGAACTGACTTTTCTGATTGAATTGACCAGTTGTGTTGGCAATGTTCTCACAAGGCCCATGTGTTCTAAACATTAGGAAACACAAAGTGCAGGCCCTTCCCTTGCTGGTAACAAATGATGGACAGCAAAGAGTTATTAGGTCATTTAATTTGTGACTTCGGTTCTTCTGTGATAAATAATGCTTCAATGACCTCACCTAGCTTTCCTGATCTCTTTGGGGATGTAGCTCTCTCCTTTTCAAATAACACCTGTTAACTAAAGGCTGGATGTGATCTTTTTAAAGGCCCCTCTGCATTAAGAACATACCCTAGTTGCCTAGGGAGATTTGGGCAGCCAATCTCCAGTGGCTCTTTCTCTACAGCCACGTGGAGGCCTGTGATAATAATACGGGATAAAGAAATTCTGATGAGATAGTTGGTTTGTCTGGAAAGTTATTGTGACTTATCCCAATAAAGGGTGTTGCTCAGGCTCTGTTTATTTATAGACCAATAAAGAGAAATTTCCACCATGCTGTTCACCAGGCTAAGGATAAGTAGCTCTTCCATTTCTAACATTTAATGTTCACGGACACAAAAACAACTGCCCTGAATATTAAGACAGCATTCAAATGGTCATTTCTTTTATTTTTTTTCCTTTAAGAAAAGAAGAGATCCTTGATGGTGAAATAGTGGAGATCTAAGATATGATCGTTCCTATTTTAGAACAGTTTTAATAATAGCTTGTTTTCCTCAACAAAGTGGCATGGCCTTGTAGATGTGGTCATGGTACAAAAAACTCCAGTGGTCGGCTTACACAATTGACTGAGTGCCTGGGCTTGTGGCTCAGTGGAAAGAGAATAAAGACAACTACAACCAAAGATCTGTAGACCAGCAGCAGCAGCAGCAGCAGCAGCAGCAGCAACAGCAGTCTTAGGCACGGCTTCAGCTAAGCTTCTCTCTGCAGTTCTATATGGCTTTTCATGGATCTGTGTTGCTACGAGGCCTTAGATTCCCAATTTCTGTGAAAAAGAAAACTGCATAAATTATCCCTAATTCAGTGATGAAGTAGCCATCTGGTCTGATACCACTGTGACAATGATATAGGAGTGAACACTCTGTGCTTGGTCTGCCGCATAGCAAAGGACAATAGGACATATTTTAAAATGTCAGGATCCATCAGAACCATATTCAGGAAAGTTTGCGTTTATGAAAATGGATCATATTGGAGATCTATCATGATGCAAATCTAATCATGGTTACTGGGGTGAGGAATTAAATTAAGAGTAAATTTGAATTTTTCTAATTAAAGATGTGTTATTCCATTCCCTGCCATGTTTTCTGTGTCTGGAATAGAAGCTTATTATATCATTTGCTCTAAGTGCTGTGTCACAAAGGGCAACCTAGCTAACCTTCTAGTTTCTTGATTCTGGAGACTTGTGATGGGGGACGGCTTGAGGCAGCAGACATGGAATGAGTCTGAAGATCTCAGTTTACTGCTTGGTGAATATCTGCTCACATCCCTACATTGAGCTTAACCTCTACGAGGGACTTGTCCGGGCACAAGTCAGTTCTGGAGCACAAAGTTCAGGCAGTTTGGTGCTAAAATTTCTAAGACAGTCTTCCCTTTGTCTCAGAGAGAGATGAGAGTGGAGAAATGAAATACTCTCATATTTCTAAATTCTCTGTCCTCCTCCTTGAAGATAAACATCGTAGGAGGGGACAGAGTCTCCAACCATGCAAGGTGACTGTCTGTAAATGCTCCTTAGGTAAATGCTGGATGGTAAATGCAGAGGATGGCACAATAGCCGTAGACAGTCTGTTAAGGGTCAAAGGGAGCTTTCTAAGCCGGCACGTCGACTCATTAAATAATAGACCGTGGCTGCTGCTTTTAAAAAGGAAGCAAAAGGATTTCCTGTTATTGCTGGGTTCTCTTCTCCCCCATCCCCAAGTCACAAGATGGCATAAAATTCAGGACTCAGTGAACTAAAGGGTACCTTCTCAAGCTAAAAGACTCAATATGCCTAATGTTAGTTCCTTGAGAGCAGGGACTGTTTTTGCTTTTTCTGTGTATTCTTAGCTCTGTGCCTACACATAATACATATTAATAAATGCTTGTGGATTGATTGATTGACAACCCATTCTGGAGCAGAAAGGATTTAGAGTGAGTGACAAGCAAATTCTTTTCTAAATTTTCATTGGGTCTAATGGCACTTTTTTCATGAAAGAACCCTAAACATTGCATACATCAAAATGTGTATGAACATGCGTGCCCTAAGTGTGGCCCTATGGCACCAGAATTTCTTTTATGAGAGTTCTAAGCATTTTATGAATAGCCACCATGTTTTTCCTTCTGAAGGAAATGGAGGATAAAAGACTGGAGGAGAGCCAAAAGAATATATAATTCTTTGTTCTAACCTCTTCCCCAGTACATTCCAGATATTCTTTCTTCTAATCCCAAGGAGAGAGGGGAATTGGGCCACTCACCACAGAAGTCTTAAGCATGCCATTGACCTCACCAACACACCTAATACTTTACTGCCTCTCACACAAGTGTTTCTTCTTATCTTTGTAGATGATATAATTAGGGAGAAATAAAGAAACAAAGGGAAAATACAATTCTGGGTTATT